AACATGAAAATTAAAACACAAGAATAATACTAATCCTATATGGCCCAAAAATGTTTGAGTCATATTGATTACTCATTATTCATTGTATAATGTTTCGAATAATCAACTTAATACTTGAATTAAAATAATAGTTATGTCGTGCTCCATGCATGCACACTATGTTTGTCTACAATAGTTATGCCATGCTCCAAGCATGCACACTATGTTTTTCTATGGTCCTTACTTTGTGAAATAGATCAATTGAAAACCATTTCAATGATGCTCACTTCACAATTCTAAATCCTTATTGCAAGTGTAAGAATTCCAAATTCTTGTCACTTCTAGAAAGTGTTAGATTCCAAACTATCATCTAATGATTATTTTTTAATTTCTAGGTACCAAAAGTCACAGAGACTTGACTAATGATATTAAAAAATATTCCTTTGGAGATTGTTACAGGACAATTCCATGGAAATGAAGTCTCAAATTTAAAGTACATTCTTTTGGACATCCTTCTTGCATAAAAGTTTCTAACTTTCTCATCTATTCTTCAGCTCCCAATATGGAACCATCCATATTTTCCATACAAAAATTCATTATTAATAAACTCCTGTCTATTCATAAAAATGTCAATATGGTTCATCCATTACTATACTTCCAACTGTCCTTAAGCGAACAATCCTTGGCGAACCTTTTGTTTTCTATAATTAACATCGCTAACTTGCAATATTTACCATAATTGATTATGCGCCCACTATCATAATAATTATTATCTTACCAGCATAACACTTGTGCTCCCACTAGCTTTGACATGTAGTCAGAAATCAGCTGGACTTCTAGAAATCAGTACTTCATTGACTTTCATTACCAAAGTTCAGATTTCTGACACGAGATGCTTTGATAAGACTTTATCTAGTCTTCTCAAACTCACACACCTTTCCTTAGATAGCTCACAAGTGTGTCTAAACAATTTAAGATCTTATAGCAATAAGTCTCAAATGTTTATCCATTTTTCTATATCTCACAATTCGAATTATGAAAAGGGATGTCGTAATCATAATCGAATTTGCAATTGCAAATATTACAATTGCTATCTTCTTAAAATCTACTTAGTGATAGCGTTTCCTCACCATCATTTTATGAATCGAAGAGAAACCTTATGAAACTTAGATTTTATGGTATATGTGTTCATATCCATGTGAATTTGTCAAAACCATAATCACAAGATAAGGTTAGTGACACATTCAAACTCATATGGACTGAACTTGTTCAATCTTAATTTCTTGCCACTTGGCAGCACAAGGGCCTACCATGTCTTCCAAGTTGTTACGCATACAATTGAGAACTCATAGAACTCACATACATAGTCAAATTTAACTGGAATGGGAACAAAAATAAGAATATGCAAACATGATAGGTTACAAACCTCATGTCGTGTGCTAGTGATAAACAATAGATTTTATTCTTGATTAGTTCTTGAAACTTGTCAAGATCATTAAGACTCCCACTGGCCTCTTAACATATAAGATTCCCTTGTCAAGAATCATTCCTTGACAAAACAAATATTAAAGAGTTAGTGCGGATTCTTATGAAGATAAAACTTCATACAATTGGTCTTAGTTGGTATTTGTCCTTACCAAGACATGACAACTTACCAATTTCAAATGTACAAGAGCAAAAATATTTTGATCTAAATTTGATGTGACACATCCCAAAAATACAACCCAATTTTTTTTAACATTATTAAAACCCACAACATTGAATGCTATATAATAAAACCATGCATCGTATGTCTCAAAATACCATAATACATGTATCAAATCAAAAACTGAAGTTAATATCATATCGAAACATCTGAATAGAACTCCCAGGATAAAACCTGTAACTGTGGTGTGTGCCATGCCATCAAACCAAGCTCTTCCCCTTGCTAGCAGAAGTAGCTGAAACCAAAACTGAAAACTGTAAGTACGAAGCTTAGTGAGCTCCCCCAATCTACCACATATCATACAATAACATATAAAGCAAATACTAGGCCTTGCCCACTGCATCGTACTGAAATCTGAAAACTGCAACAGACCGAAGTCCGAAAACTAACCAGGGCCTTACCCTCTGCATCGGACCGAAGTCTGGAAACTGCATCGGACCAAAGTCCGGAAATTAACCAGGGCCTTTCCCTCTACATCGGACCAAAGTCCGGAAACTAACTGAACATAGATAGCATAATCATAACTACTAGCATAAACACATATACTACATATTGCAGCGGACAGAAGTCGGGAACACATAACACAAAGACATGCTTGAATCACAAAGACATCAAGCAAAGTGAACCACTGCATCGGACCGAAGTCCAGAACTATTGCTGACTAAACGTGCCAGGATTGTGTTCATAGACCCGTTCCTACTAGAAGAAAGACTCACCTTGTAACGTTGGCTACTGAGGTGCTAAATCTGAAACTGTCTGACTGCTGCTCCGGAACTCCCCGGCTACAAATTCCATAAACAACAAATCAAATACTGATAACTAATCTCAGGGTAAAATGACCATTTTACCCATGCTATGGCGTGGGTTACAAACATGGGCCCAAACCCTTAATTTCTTCTATGTCCGCCAATGACCCCCTAGAGGCCTACTAATGACCCAATTTTCTATATTGGGCCCAAATCCCTTTATTGGGCCTTACCCTAGGCCCAACACCTATACTTGGCCCATAGTCACAAACTCCTAATGGCCCTTATGGGCCAAAGACTCTAAGTCCAAAGCACAACCCACACTGAGGCCCAACTTCTCAAAGCCCAATCTGGCAGTGTACGCGGGGCGTACCACTAGGGACGCTGAGCATATCGGCTGCTGGCTTGTTCGCCGTACGTACCTCCTTGTACACCCATCATATAACCCTATTAAGCCAACTTCCTATTAAGTGCTTAATCCATCGATTTAGAAGCTACAATTACAGATCCACGTCTTATTCTATGTCCCAAGCCATAAAGTTGCTTACTTGATGGCTTGGATGGCTTAAAGAGGCACAAACTTCAAAAAGCAATATCCTACCTCCATATAAATGGCTAGATCTCATGCATGGCCTCATGCAAACCTCAAAGATCTCAACTTTATTGCTAAGAAGGTGTTTTGAGCCTAAAAGATGGCAATCCCAAGCTCAAAAACAAATCTTCATGATCAAGGTCCAACCTTTAGACCTAAAGATGTCCAAAACTTCAATAACTCTAGATCTAGGATATGAGGAAAAAAGTTCAGTGCTTTATACCTTCTTTTGATGACAAAGAATGAGTCTAATCCAGATCTCTGAGCTCAATTTTCTTCTCCAACCTTTGCTTTCCTGCTTCACAATTTCTTCCTCATTAAAAACTCTCACAAAGAGCAAAATCACACAAAAGAGAGAGTAAGGACGTGCAAGGGTTTTCTTGGGGGTGAGGAGACTGGTAATAATCCAGAGGGAGGGTATAATGGGGTTTAAATAGGTCTCAAACCCTTAAATTAGGGTTTCTTATATGCTCACTTACGCTGCGCGTAAGTGTGTGCGTCCCCGATTCCAACCGCGGTCCGCTACGCCCCGCGTATGATCAGGCTACTCCCAAAGTACGTCTTATGGGTGGACAAGACTTGGCCCAAGTGCATAAATACAAATCCAATACTCTTTTTCTTCCATACTAGGCCCAACTATATTTTAAGAAAAATTAAATAATTAATACCTTGAGAGACGGACGTTACAATTCACCCCCAGTTGAATTAGACTTCTTCCTCAAAGTCTGCTGCTACTGAATCTGAAAACGACTCTGGATAATGCTCTCGTATCTCCTCCTCGGACTCCCATGTCCACTCTAAACCCTTCCAGTGCTGCCACTGCACCTTTACTAGCTGAACTACCTTGTTCCTCAAGGCCTTCGTCTTCTGATCCAAGATCGTAATTGGTCTCTCGATGTAATTCAGGATACTATCAACCTGAATATCCTCCAATGGAACAACTGCTGACTCGTTCACCAAACATTGTCGCAACTAAGATACATCAAAAGTGTTGTGGATCTGGATGAGCTCTGCTGGAAGATCCAAACGGTAAGCAACCCGACCCACCCAGGTCAAAACCCTAAATGGACCAATCAATCTAGTGCCCAACTTGCTCCACATCCGATATCTGATGACACCCTTCCAGGGTGATACCTTCAGGAGGACCGTATCGCCGACCTAAAACTCCATGTCCGAACGCCTCGTATCGACGTAACTCTTCTACCGACTCTGCGCAGTCTGTAGTCTGCTACGGACCTGCTGGATCAACTCTGTGGTCTTGAGTACCACCTTTATACTCCCGATGACTCTCTGACCAACCGCACCCCAACAAATTGGGGTCCTACACTTCCTCCCGTAAAGCATCTCGAAAGGAGGGAGGTCAATGCTGGTGTGGTACTGTTGTTATACGAAAATTTCGCTAATGGAAGACACGTACCCCAACTTCCACCAAAATCTAGAACAGATGCCCGAAGCATGTCCTCGAGATTCTAAATCATCCTCTCGCTTTGCCCATCCGTCTGAGGGTGGAAAGCGGTGCTGAAGTGAAGACGAGTCCCCATCTCATCATCACTACAAGAAAAATACCCTTTAATGACGTGCAAACAACGACACTCGTGGATTTAGGATACACATTCTTGTGTGTCCATAAAAACAATGCCAGGTTTCCAAAAACTGAAGGATAGAGGACACGTATTTTGGCGTGCCCTTAGATTAGTGTTTAAAAAAAACACGGAAGGCACCGAACGAAAAAAGGGTGTCCTCTAAAGGTTCCGTTTTATATTTTTTAATGAAGGGTCACGTTCTCCAATTTTTTTTAATAGCCGGGATATGAAATCTCAAAAAATTAAACACCCCGCCATTTATCTCCTTCTTCTCCTTCTACAATCCTCTACCAATGAACCTAATAGAATTGTGAGGGAGATGGGGGCATCTCTAACCTTCGCTTCTGCTCAGCCTCTTGTATATCATCCGAGAGGAGCTTACAGTACCAAAAAAAATGGCAGACTCATTGGTACTCCACGGCACGATGAGGGCCCGCACCGATTGGGTCACCGCAATCGCCACTCCAATCGACAACTCCGAAATGATCGTCACCTCTTCTCGTGACAAATCAATCATCTTTTGGCGCCTCACCATGGAAGACAAAACCTATGGTGTCGCACATCGCCGTCTCACCGGCCACTCTCACTTTGTTCAAGACGTCGTTCTCTCCTCCGACGGCCAGTTCACTCTATCCAGCCACTCTCCCTCTCTCTCTCTCTCTCTCTCTCTAACCCTAGACAAATCCATTGACCTTCGTCAGAGCTATCTTCTTCTCCCCCACCACCACCAACAAACCACAACCTTATTCATTACCCTAAAAACCAGACTAATCTTTCACCTCTCTTAATCTCTCTCATAACACTTAGGTTTTTGGCAATGAAAAAAAATCGCCCCCCTACTCCATTGACGTGTTCTAATTTCTTACTGTATATAGGTTAAAATCAACCATTGCAGCAGAGCATCTTCTCGTGTAGTGTTTATCAGGTCGAAATGAAGTCGTTTTGGAGGATTAAAGCCATGGAGATATAGTTTCAACTTCTAAAATACAGATACAATTTCAACTTCTAAAATCGGTAGGGTGTGTGATGGATTCAATCCATTGAGAGTCTGCCCTTTTCTTTGAGAAATTACATTAATATTCTTCCTGAGCATGTCGATTCCACAATCTTCTGGTGACTCTTCCTTTTTCTTTCTCTAGTTGCTTTCTGAATTTTGGTGTTTTCTTCCACTTCACGTTCAGAAGTATTTTGGTGATGATAACTGAGAAGTAGGCTGATTTCCTTATCCTTTTCCAGAACAGGTCATAAGAATATGTGACTAACGAGTTTCTGCTAGTCCAAGAGTAAGTGATTCTTCCAAACAAAAAACCTCTCCCCTTATCCAGTTACACTCAATGATTTCATCTAGGCTTTTCGGATTCTCAGATCAAGAGCATTCTCATGGCTTCATGATCAAAATCTTGTCTTTATTCCAATAGCAGACTTGGTAAGCTCTAAAACCGTTGTTTTTCACAATATGGTTAATTTCCAAAATGCCCTTCATAGCGTTCTCTCCTGACATATACGTACATAAATTTCAAACTAATCATAGCCCTAGTATAAATAAAGAAGATTATGCATATGAGATCAAATGGGTTTAACTATTCTCCAGTGATCAAATATTCTCTTTGAGAGGTCAAATATCGGTCAAGGCTGGTCAACAGGTGAGTCAAACCTATCACATTCAAGATTCAAGTTTCTATAGCTTCTCCCACATATTTTAACATTATGTTGTTACTGAATTTGCGTATAAAATTTAACCATTTGGTATAGCTTCAAAAGAAATGAAAGCAATATGCTATGAAAACATTATAAATGGTTGCTCTAAGTCTCTCATTATATTGAATACGATCTTAGTCATATTAGTCTTTAGATTATTGACTTGAAAATATCCATAACATAAGTACTCAGATTTGATATTAATGACAGAAAATAAAGAATGAAATCTATAAAATTTATATGATTCATACATGCACACATTTTACATACGGGTGATAACTTTTTTAAACTTGAAACAACCATCCATGTGTGAAATAAAAAGGTCAAGGCTCAACTTATCTAGAATGTTCTACCTCCATAAATTTGCTTAAATAAAGAATGAACAAATTTCGTAACATTTATCATCTTAATAAGGTGGAAAAACAAAGACTTTCCTAACCAAAATTTGAATAGTGGAAGGACTTCTTATGTATTTACATATTTCCCTTAAAGATACCTGTTCAAGGTCATATGTGATACCCTACCTCTTGGTATATAATTGATGCTCTATTGGCACAACTAGGCACAATCATATTCATAGAAAATCACCACTAAAAAAACCTTCAATTTTCCATTTTTAGTGTCACCTTTTTCTTGTGTTCTTGAAAGAAAATATAAAAAGTAAAGGATGACTTGGCTAATCGGTTCAACAAAACTAGAGACTTGGCTAATAGAAGGAGTTGACGGCAAGGTCTTAGCTACCATTGTTATAGGTCTACTTCTTTCCCTTTTCTTTCAAATATTTACAGTTTTTGGAATTCTTAGATCATTATGCTTTAAGATTTCATCTGGGGTTTTTGTTTATTGTCCATTAGAACACTAGTAAACACACGAAGTTTGGAAATCTTAATTTTATAAATTGTTTGATTGGTTTTAAATGATTGAAGTTTGTACATGAGTGGTTTAATCTAGTTGGTGTTCAAAACATGTAAAAGGGTTGGTAATTATTTGCTTGATGCATCAATAACATACTATCAAACTTCTTCACATGAAGGACTCAATTTCAATCATGACTAATGTTTTCAGGTTCAACAGAACTAGAGACTTTGGGATCTGAAAAGCAAGTTAATTATGTATGGGATGATTTATCTCATCCTCATAAGCTAGTCATCGAAATAAGTGCTAACTCATTCATTCTCATTTCGTGTAACACCCTACTATAAAAAAAGGAAAATGCGGATTTTGGTTATGTTTGATGCGGTCGAGTGCATACTAAAACTATAAAACTCATTATTCTTAAAAGACAGCTGACAACATAATTATCAATAGAGTTTTGAAATGTGGATTTGGGTTCTGTTTGACAGGATCTTAAACGGTCTCTTATAATATTTTAACATGTACACAACTTCATTTAGACCCACATATCATACCATGTTGAGCAAAATAATACCAAGTTTTTTAGAACAAATCATAAAAGCCAAAATTACACAATACACACCCAACGCTATTTATAACAAAAACTAGCCTACTAATTCCCCCCCTACCCCCCCCCCCCCCACTCTAAGTCTTCAAAACATACAACTAAAATTTACCCTACAATAAGATACAAATTTAAGTACAATTACCAATCTATTGAAACTGTTTCAATAGAAATCCTGTGAAGTCTCTTGAGCTATTCAGTTTCAAGGAAGAAGATGCCCAGACACTCCTTGGACAAATGAAATCCATGGATCCTAGAATACCCGCGTCTTCTCCTTGGTAAAGAGAAATTTTACCATTCAACTACATCCGCTTTTTGTTTCACCTATTTTTGGAATAATAGCTTGGTCTACAGCGGGATTAATCGCATTTTATATGTGTCGGATCTATTTATCCCTATAATCAAAATGAAATTAATTGAAGCCGCAGGGCCCTATCCATTTATTAATTCGACCCAACTTGAAATTGACTTCGGTTTGCTCCCTTTCACTAACATAAGCCTGGTTGGAAATTAGTTCCTGTTGGTCTTAGCATGGTAAGTAATTTCAATTATGAATCTTTTATTATTCGCAATTTAACTGGTTCAAATTAGTTCCTTGGACAAATAAAATTCACTGATTTTCAACTTGTCTTCGAAATCCTTTTTGGGGTTTTCATACAAGAATCCCTTAACCACGTTGTGATATGATTTCAGTGTGCTAGATGTAATTAAGAAGCTAAAGGAATATGTAGAAGATTTAAATAAAAATATAGAGAAGATTGCTACAACTGGGTGCGTGTCAAAATATATCTTACCTGATGAGAACTTTAGAGGGAAGTATGTCTTTCAATTTCCAAATTTGCCCTTATCCATTTTTTAAAATTAGTTTTCATGCTTTATCAGGGTGCTGCAAATATAAAAGTGGTAGGAACATATATGAACAACAAGAGCAGCCGGTCACATTGTGTTTTCACTTGCATTGTGGAAAGTCATTGGGAAAAGGATTCTGTGACTCACCTTCGGTTTGGAAGGTTAAATTTGGTAGACTTGGCTGGTTCTCAAAAATAATTTGGTAGCTTAAACCATTGAGCAGATTATGATGCGATCCTTTGTTTATTTGTTTTCAGAGGTCAAGTATTGCTATCAACCAATTAAAATTTCGTTCACCAATGGCGTAATTAAGGTATCAATATCATCACTCTTACTTATTTGTCTATATCATTATCATGAAAATGTTTAAGTTGCTTATTATATATATATATTCAAATGTCAAGTTGTGCTTTCTATATAGCAAATGTTAACCTTGGTCTTTGCGTTTTTTGTTCATAGATTACAAACACCAATTTCTTTCACACAACAGAAGATCTAGAGTTTAATTGGGTGATTGAAGGTGATTTTGGTTCTTGAAACGAGACTCAAGATATCATATTTTTGGCATGGCTAGAAGCTTTGGAGGAAACGAGACTCAAGAAAAAGTAAACACACAGAGAGTTGTTGGCACATAGTAAGCTAGATGACCCAATTGTACATAAATGAGTTCATTTTTTTATAACATGATTTACTCGCTTTTGGAATAATTATTTTTATTTGACATATTAGTGAAATGAATTATCTTTGTTATTTATGGTATTTTATTTTGTATTATGATATTTTTAATGTATTATTTAATTTGAAAATTAGTAAATCTATAAATAATATTTTCTTTAAACATTTAAAATTATGATACGCAAAAATGTGTGTCATCTTCATTTATGACATGGCCTTTCTTGATAGGGGCTTTCTTGATACGCATTGCGTGTCATTAACATGCGCGTCGTAAGGTTACGACATGCGAATGCGTGTCGTCTTCCTTTATGACAGAGCCTTCCCTGATACGCATTGCGTGTCATAAACGCATGTCGTAACTGCGCGTCGTATATGAGCGTCGTAAGTGCGCGTCGTCTCTCTTTATGACAGGGAATTCGTTGACGCGCATTTGCGCGTCGTCTAAGCCTTTTACGACGCGCAATGAGTGTCGTAAAAGGCTGTTTTTCTAGTAGTGCATGAAACCGCTTCCAAAACCTAGAAGTGAACTGGACGTCTCGATCTGATACTACTGATACAGGCGCTCCATGCCGTGCCACTACCTCACACACATAAATATCAGCTAGCTTCTCGGCTGATATACTCTCCTGAATTGATATGAAATGCGCGCTTTTGGTTAGCCGATCCACTATGACCCAAATCGAATCAACTCCATGTGCGGTCCTGGGAAGCTTAGTGATGAAATCAATAGTGATATCCTCCCATTTCCACATGGGAATTTCTAATGGCTGCATCTTGCTGTGGGGTCTCTGATGTTCCGCCTTAACCTTCCTGCAGTTCAGGTATCTCTCCACATACCAAGCTACGTCCCGCTTGATGCAGGGCCACCAATAGTCGGGTCGAAGATCTCTGTACATCTTTGTCGCCCCTGGGTGGATGGAGAACCGAGACTTGTGAGCTCCGTCCATCAACACTTGCCGCACTCCGCCCCAGTACGGTACCCACACTCTCCTATGAAGGGTCAACAATCCTCGACTGTCATAGTCAAAGGAAGCTACTCATCCCAGAATCCTCTCACACTTCCGCCTCTCCTCCTTTAGGCCCTCAACCTGAGCCTCTCTAAGCTGCTCCAACAATGGAGTAATCACTGTCATCCTCAGACATATATCCCTGATCGGGGCTGCTACCGCCTTGCAGCTCGGGGTGTCGGCCACTACGTTGGCATTGCCCGAATGATAAAGGATCTCACAGTCATAATCCTTTACCACGTCTAACCATCGGTGCTGCCTCATGTTCAGATTCGGCTGATCCATGAGGTACCTCAAACTCTTGTGATCCGTGTAAATGGTACAACGAAACCTATAAAGGTAATGTCTCCAAATCTTGAGGGAGAACACCACTGCCCCCAACTCTAAATCGTGCATCTGATAGTTAGCTTCGTGAGGCTTCAACTATCTAGAAGCGTACGCTATCACATGGCCTCGTTGCATCAAAACCACTCTCATACCTGTGATCGAAGTGTCACAGTAGACTACAAAATCCTCTTCTCCCTCTGCCAGGGTAAGAATCGGCACCTCACACAATCTCTGTCTGAGGGTCTCAAATGCTACCTGTTGCTCAGGCCCCCAACAAAACACCACCGACTGCTTGGTCAGTCAGGTGAGTGGAACTGTTATCTTGGAGAAATCCTGGATGAATCTCATGTAGTACCCTGCCAGCCCTAGCAAGCTCTGAATCTCAGATGGAGATCTCGGAACCTCCCACTACATCACGACCTCTATCTTGGCTGAATCTACTAGTATACCCTTCTGGTTGACGAGGTGTCCAAGGAATTGCACCTCGTGCAACCAGAACTCACACTTGGAGAACTTCACGAAAAGTCTCTCCCTCCTCAAGGTCTGTAGCACCTCTCTCAGGTGCTCCTCGTGCTGCTCCTGAGTCTTGGAATAAACAATGATGTCATCAATGAACACTATCACCGACCGATCCAACATTGGTCTGCATACGCGGTTCATGAGGTCCATGAACGCGACTGGATCGTTGGTGAGCCTGAACGGCATCACCACAAACTTATAATGACCATAGCGGGTCCTAAAAGTGATCTTCATCCCTGACCCACATCTGGTGATAACTGACCGTAGATCAATCTTGGAGACCCAAGATGCTCCCTGAAGCTGGTCAAACAAGTCATCTATCCTCGGGAGTGGGTAACGGTTCTTCACCGTTACCTTATTCAGCTCCCGGTAATCTATGCACATACGATGCGACCCATCCTTATTCCTTACGAATAGGATCGGGGCTCCCCATGGTGAACTACTCGACCATATGAAACCTTTGTCTAGCAGCTCCTGCAGCTGCATAGACAACTCCTACATCTCTGGTGGAGCCAATCGATACGGGGCCTTGGCTATTGGAGCCGCACCCGGAACCAGGTCAATCCGAAACTTGACCTGTTTTTCCGGAGGTATCCCGGGTAAATCCTCTAGGAATACGTCTTGATACTCTCGCACTACTGGTACCTCATCAACTGTCGCTAGTGTTGCATAAATCGGTCTTGGCGGCCGGATTAATCACTTGGCGGCCTTGGGCCGATTACGATTAGGGTTTGGCGGTGAAATTAATCGTTTTCGGTCAATATCGGTCAACACCAGTTCTTGGCGGGCTAATCGGCCTTCTTGGTCAACAATAGTCAACGAACTAAAAAAGTCCATGGCCGGTCAAAATTAGAAAAAAAGGCTCCAAAATCAAACTTAGCCCTAAAAGTTTCATTCGTTTGCTTACTGCATCTCTTTCTCTCTATGACGCTTTGAGGAGGCTCATTATTTTTGTTTCTTCTTGGCGAGTGGAGACAGATTCCGAAGCTGGCATCATCGGCAACACCATCTGACGCTAACACAAGGGCCGGCGACGCAAGGGACGACAACGCAACTTAGGTATTTACGCTACACTGTGTGTTTTGTTTTTTGGTGATTACAAAAACGCAAGTCATTCTTGTTTTTCTTCAATCAAAATTTGATTTCTTGTTATTATTATGAATATCTTGTGATTTTTGTTGTGCACATCTTCATATCAGTGATATTTTCTCTGTATTTGGTGTGATGTGATGAACTTCGAAGATGAATAGTATTTCACTTAAATCTGATTTTTGCTCCTATTTTTACTTTTTACGTATCTACACATCTTCACATCTGTGATTGTGAATGTCTTGTGCTTGTTTATGGTTGTACATTAAAATATTTGTTGAAAAAATAGTTGGTGTTTTTGATTTTTCAATAGGTATTAACTGATATCTGATGTTATTCATTGAAATTTGATGTGATGCACTGAAATATTTTGTTATTTTTTGTTGGGTTTTTAATTTTTTATGTTTCCTGTTTTTGTTGTTTTCTGTTGTCACTAGTAGTTTCTTATGTCCTTATCATTGTTTAAAAACAGGAAGCATATTCATTGAAATCTTTTGTTATTTTTCTATATGTAACAGTTGTGGGATTAACCAATGACATCTAAAAATTCTACTTCACCATCGGTGGGATCTACCGCCACCGCCGCTCATAAACGGAATTTGGATGATATTGGTTGGGAATATGGTTTTTGCCCGGATAAAACTAAGTTGAATAAAATAAAACGTAACTTGTGTGGAAAAATCGTTACCGGGGGATTTCTAGATTTAAACAACATATTGCATATGTGTCGGGAAATGTTTCTTCATGTCCAAACTCTACAAAAGATGATCAATTGAGACTTCGAGATTATCTTAATGAAGGGAAGTTGAAAAAGATAGCTAAACACACATATGATGAGGCCTTAAGAGCGGAGGTAATGCAAGAATTACATGATAGTGTTGACGTGGATGAAATAGAAGATTTCGTGGGGTCTAAAGCACCAAATGTTATTGGCCCCATGGATGACTTTGCAAATAAAATAAACCCCGAAGAAGCTTTGAAGAAAGGAAAGGGAAAAAAGTTGATCTTAACAATATTGTTCGGAAAGAGAGAATATTGGCGTGTCATAAATTCATTAGTAGGTGGGCATATAAAACTTCGATTACATTCCATGCATTGGAAGATGATAGCTTCAAAATGATGTTGGAGGTTGTTGGCCAATTTGGAACTGGGCTTCCACCTCCTACTAGATATTCTTTGAGTGACCCACTTCTAAAGCTTGAGGTTGAAAGAACAAAAAGTTTGTTGAAAAGAAATGAAGAAGAATGGAAAGAGATGGGATGCTCGATCATGACGGATGCTTGGTCAGATAGGAGAGAAGGAGCATTATGAATTTATGTGTAAATTCAAAAATGGGTACCGTGTTGTAACAGCCCGGAATTTCAGGTAATTCTTTAAATTATTTTTGGGCACATTTAAGAGGGGACTCGGCGAGTAGGTGCATGACTCGCCGAGTAGGGCCATGGTCTTGGTCGCAGTCGCAGATACGCGACTGGACTCGACGAGTCCAAATAGGGACTCGGCGAGTCGACGCTGTTTCAGCTGAACCCTAGCCGTTTCATTTCTGATCGTATATAACGATCTTATGGCCGTCATGTCGCGTCTTTTGGCCGATTGAAGATACCCTGGGAGTGTGTGAGCATCTGAAGCAAGAGAGAGGACTTGAGGAGGCTTGAAGAGATTGTTAGACAAGGAGGAGCAAGGTGGTGATCAAAGGAATCGAGTACTGGAGGTTTGGAGACACAGGGAACACGTTTCCAGGTAATCTTCGGATCGAAATCTGTAACTTTTACGTTGTATGCGAGTTTAGGGTTTAGGAAACCCATTTAAGGATTTGTTAGATTATATTGTTGTTATAAGTGTTTAAAAACCCCTGTAATAGTATATGTGAAAGTCCAGGAAGCCCCATATCTATATACTTCGAAATCATGCGAAATACAG